AGGGGGAGAAGGGAGGCCATCGAAGAAAAAAAAAAACGTAATTTCATTGTGCTCTGTACAATGACAATAATATAGGTGTCAATCAATCAATCAATCAATCAATCAATCAATCAATCAATCAATCAATCAATCAATCAATCAATCGATCGACAAAGCAACAAAACAAAACAAAAAAACATGCTAAACTGTGCATCAAACGTTTCAGTTTTAGCAAAACAACTTCACAAACTAAAATATAATATACTGTATATATGTAAACACCAATAATAAAACTCCTCAGATGTCTCTATTTCTGGAGCTGCAGAACATTATCACAGTATACATTTATACATCTAATCCTTTAAAAATGTCTCAGAAGCTTTTATTTAAGAATACTCATAAATAAAAGCATTTGATGTGTCATGATGATTAAACTCAATATTTTTGTGCATTTTATTAATGTTACAGAGACTTCAAAATAAGTTAATCTGAAGTTGTTGTTTTTTTAGTTTTTCACGATAAAACTGGATTTAACCCAGATTGAAATGAAAGTAAGATCTCCAAAAAGAACCTATTACTTTCTCTACACCTCTCTAGAGACCCTGTCACACTATGATGTCTTAGGCAACTTGTGCAGACACATGCAAATTTTGTCCAACACACTGGGAAACACTCAGGAAGAGAATAAAAAACATCACTTAGAAGCCTCTTTTGGAAGTGATCATACTGTCCTGCTAATGACTTGAAATATTATTATTAGCCTTTATTTAACCAGACAAATCTCATTGAGATCACAGATCTCTGTTGCAACTGAGGCCTGGGGCCAGAAGGCAACCGACTCTTTTTGGTTTATGGGAGAAAACCGAAGTATCCAGAGCAAACCCACACAAGCACAAAGAGAACATGCAAACTGCACAGAAAGAGTCAGAACTGAGGATCAAACCAGAACGTTCTTCCTGCAGCAGTGCTAACCACTGAAATAAGCTTATAGCAACATTAGTGTCACTTCTGCATTTTAAAGCAAACAGAGACGCACAGCAACTGCTCATGAAAAGAAAACACCACCACAATGATGGATGGTAGTTTTAGAATAACTTACCAGCACATACAAGCTGTCATACAGTGATACCAGCACACAACTTTTAACATGATGAAAAGTGTCACTGGACGCTGAACTGATCATTTTTTACACAAGTTTCAGGTCTGTTCCAGATCATGCATACCTGTCAAGTTGTACGGATTGTTGTGAAATTACACAGATTTTCCCTCATTTTGCAGATGTACAGATGTAAGGGGCAGATATTTTTGAACCAGCTGTCAGAGCCGATGATCCCACAGAAGGAGGTGCGGTGTGGGAGACAAGTCTGGTAACCATTAAACCAGTGATCTGAGCCGCTGAGGCAACAACATCAACAAACAGCTGTGTTCTGGGAGCTACAACTCCATCAGCCTCCATGGAGCGTAGCCTCACTCTTATGTTGCTTTACTTTTGGGAATTAATATATTGTATGACCAGAATTAAAGTAAAAGTGTGTTGTTGTTTTTCAGAAATAACAGTTTTTTTCTGACAAAGGATTACAAGATTATAAACAAGGTAAATGTGCTAAATGTAACATTATATATGGAACCACACTGTGACATTACTGTACTGTGATCAATAAAAAATAAATAGCTTTTTCTGGCATTGTTTCTGTTGACTTTGTTTGTGTAGTTTGCCAGTATTATTAAAATATATAATACACATAAGTTCAGTTGTCCTGATGCATCTCAGTAGTCCAGGTAGAAATAAATAAATAAATAAATAAATAAATAAATAAATAAATAAATAAATAAATAAATAAATATTAAGTAGGTCCTCTGGATGGGCTCTTTTTTTAATTAACATTTTGTCTCTCCTCCAAGAGACTTCTTCAGTCTGAGGAGTTTCAGGTAAGTTATCTGTAATTTTTGTTGTTGTTTTTTTTAATTAATAAGTAATAAGACTTTACACATAAGTCCTGCATAAGTGCAGGTAGTCAAGGGTTAAAAAAAGTTATGTGTCACTTCAGAATTGTCTCACTTGTTTTGGACATGTGTCCACTTAAGAGTAACAAATGAATAACTTATATGTGAACTGATGCAGAATTTATTTTTAGCATAGCTGTAACTTGTGCCTCACTTATCAGCAGCACATCAGCAAAGTTATTTTATTATTACACCTAACTTTTGCAACTTGCATGTTGACAAAATGTGCACATGTCAGCATAAGTTGTCTAAAACGTATGACAGTGCTTTAAGAGAAGCCATCATGACAGCAACATCCTGTTTTGACCTTTTTCATAATTCTGTGATTTTAGCTGCTTGTTATGTCCATTAGTTTTATGCTGTCTTGTAAACAAATATTTCTTTTTAAGATTCATAGAAAATAAAATTTCACAAACTCACTCAGGGTATGTTTAGGATGACATGTTCATGTCCGAAAAAAATCTCCAAAATTAGTGGTTAAATGGCTGCTTTTTACTCGATAATTCAACAAAAAGTTTGTGGTGTGATCATTGAGGGAAATTAATTTTTATCAGTTTATCATCAGACCATCAAGAAATGCTTTGACACGGACAGTCTTGTTCTCTGGGTCTCCTTTTGAAACATGAACATTTTTTCCTCCACATGTCCTCCTGACTTCACACACAACAAGCCTCCATCACCAACATCCAGTCTCCTACAGATAACTATATTTTATACATCGCAGACATTCTGACACCAACAAGGTGATGGATCCACACTATGACCATGAACTAAAAAAACAAACCATAACAATTGTTTTTTTCATTAAGTGACACTTTGTTTATTTGCAGTTAGTTAAAACAACTGATTTGATTCAGTCTGATGGAGAAGTTCCTAAAGCCTTTCCTCTTGATATGATTCTAAGATAAAAAAATAACTGCCCAGTCTTAAAAACAACAGTGAAATTTAAACTTTTCAAAAAAGAAAGATGGCACTTAATGAAAAGTGGTAATGTGGAGAGTGATATGGAAGCATGAGGCTGTTACTATAGTCCCTAAAATGCAATTTTAACCTATTTTTCTAAATTAATTATGCTTAATTGATAAAAAAAAACCCTGCAGTCTGACTTCACGTACAGTTAGTACTTCATGTACAGTTATATTTGGACACCGACACAAACTTTGTCTTTTTACCTGTTTACTGAAACATATTCAAGTTATGGTTATATAATGTACATGGACATAAAGTCCAGACAGTCAGCTTTCATTTGAGGGTATCCACATTAAAATTGGATGAAGGGTTTAGGAGTTTCAGCTCCTTAACATGTGCCACCCTGTTTTTACAGGGAACAAACGTTATTGGACAATTAACTTCATGGACAGGTGTGGGCAGTCTCTTCATTATGTCATTCTGAATGAAGCAGATAAAAGGCCTGGAGTTGATTTGAGGTGTGCTGCTTGCATTTGGAAGGTTTTGCTGTGAAGTAAACGTGGTCGAAGCAGCTCTCCATGCAGGTGAAACAAGCATCCTTAAGCTGCAAAAACAGAAAAAAATCCATCCAAGAAACTGCTACATTAGGAGTGGCAAAAGCCACAGTTTGGTACGTCCTGAGAAAGAAAGAAAGCACTGGTGAACTCATCAATGCAGAAAGACCTGGGCGCCCACAGAAGACAACAGTGGTGGATGATGGCAGAATAATCTCCATGGTGAAGAGAAACCCCTTCACAACAGCCAACCAAGTGAACAACACTCTCCAGGAGGTAGAAGTATCAATATCCAAATCTACCATAAAGAGAAGACTGCATGAAAGTAAATACAGAGGGTTCACTACATGCTGCAAGCATCAAGAATAAAAAGGCTAGATTGGACTTTGCTAATGTTGCACTCATAAAACATACAGAACTCCATCTTCTGTTTGGCAACTTTATTTGCCCCACGCTGCATGCATATTTTGGAATTGTTCTCTCCGGAGCAGCGGGCATGGACGCACACACCACACAGATCAGCACACCGTCACATTACAGAACTTCTTCCTTCTCTCTACTGTCCCTACCGGCGACGTGGTGCATGACTCTCACACTGTAAAACTTTTGTGCCTGAACCAAAAATATCCAGAGGTAACATTTCTAGACAACTAAGTTGCACAAGCAAATAAAATATTTTGGATAAATGAATAAAATGTCCAGTGTTTCTTTCATCACTTAAAAATAATGGGAAAAAATAATAATCTAAATAAAATTATTCCAGGGTGCAACACTAAAAAACCTCTAAAAAAGCAGCAGAGTTCTGGAAGAACATTCTTTGGACAGATGAAACCAAGATCAACCTCTACCAGAATGATGGAAAGAGAAAAGTCTGGTGAAGGTGTGGTACAGCTCATGATCCAAAGCACCACATCATCTGTAAAACACAGCAGAGCAGTGTGATGCTTGGGCATGAATGGCTGCCAGTGGCACTGGGTCACTGGTGTTTATTGATGATGTGACATAGGACAGAAGCAGCCCAATGAATTCTGAGGTATTCAGAGCCAGACTGTGCTGAGATCAGCCAAACTGATTGGTCATCATTTCATACTACTGATGGACAATGACCAAAACATAAAGCCAAAGCAACCCAGGAATTTGTTAAAGCAAAGAAGTGGAATATTCTTGAATGGCCAAGTCAGTCACCTGATCTCAACCCAACTGAGCATTTCACTTGTTAAAGACTAAACTTCAGACAGAAAGGCCCACAAACAAACAGCAACTGAAAACCGCTGCAGTGAAGGCCTGGCAGAGCATTAAAAAGAGGAAACACAGCATCTGGTGATGTTCATGAGATCAAGACTTCAGACAGTCATTGCCAACAAAGGGTTTTCAACCAAGTACTAGAAATGAACATTTTATTTACAATTATTTAATCTGTCCAATTACTTTTGAGCCTCTGAAATGAAGGGATTGTGTTTAAAAGATGCTTTAGATCCTCACATTTTTATGCAGTCATTTTGTTCAACCCACTGAATTAAAGCGGAGAGTCTGAACTTCAGCTGCAACTGAATTGTTTTGTTTAAAATTCATTGTGGTAATGTCTAGAACCAAAATTAGAAAAATGTTGTCTCTGTCCAAATATATATGGACCTAACTGTACCTGTCCGCCATCACCCTCTGCATCCCCCTCGGCTCTGTCGCCCTCCAGGTCGGCCTCCTCCAGGGTGAGACTGCAAACCCGGCAGCACAGGGGGAAGAGGAGGACTGGGAGGGACCCAGAGGGAGAGCTGAAGCCCCCTAATGACCGGAGGAAAGATGAGTCCTGAGTCACCCTCAGAGTCAAATCTGAAACAAACACAGAGAAGTTTTTAAAACATTTACAATAAAAATATATTTGTTTTATTTACTTCAGCTCTGCTTTTAACACTATCCTGCTCCACAGAGCAGTGAGCAAGCTTTCAGCCCTGCTCTCCCAGACTCCACCTGTCTCTGGATTAAAGACTTTCTGACAAACCACACACAGAGGATCAGCCCCCACACCTCCTCAGCCTGGCCTATTGGCAGCAGTTCACCACAGGGCTGTGTGCATAGCCCTCTGTTTTTCACTCTGTGGTTCACCACAGGGCTGTGTGCAGAGCCCCCTGCTTTTCACACTGTACAGGCACCACTGTGCTCCCACCCGCAACAGCAACTCAGTCATTAAGTTTGCGGACAACACAACTGTGTTGGGGCTCATCTGTGGAGGGGATGAGAACTACAGAGACAAAGTGAAGCTGCTGACAGAGCGGTGAGCAGAAAACAACTTGTTCCTGAAGATGGCAAAAAACTAAAGAGCTTGCAGTGGATTTCAGATAATAGTCCACAAATACAGCAGAGCTGGGGAAAACGGCCCAACAAAGACTTTATTTCCTGAGAGTCATCAGAAAAAATAACGTCTGTCAGAAAGTGCTGGTGTCATCCCACCACTGCTGCATCAGGAGTGTTTTGTGCTACAGATCACTGGACGCTCACTGCCCTCTCTTAAAGAACTCCACAGCTCTTGCTGTCTCAGGTCACATCATGTTCCAAACACTGCCATGAGGCAGGAGCTGCATGAGCAGTAAAACAAAGACAAACTGATTTAAAAACAGCTTCTACCCCACAGCCATCAGGGCACAGATACAGCATTACACCACAGCACAAATATATGGGGAAACAATGCAACAATCAATGCTTAACAACCAGAGTGCACTTTCAATGTACAATAACCCCTTAACCCCATACAGCAGTGCTGTACAACAGCTTCTGTTTTATTTTTATCTGGTAAATACTTCAACCCCTTTCTTTTATTATCCTCTTTACCCTGACATCATAAGGGAACGCCTGATTCTGTTGTACTTGTTGTAATGACAAGATAAGAATGTCTTTATTATCATTGTAACAAGTACAAACTACTTTTTCTTTGTACTTGTTACAATGATAATAAAGATAAGAATATCTTTATTATCATTGTAACAAGTACAAAGAAAAAGTAGTTTTTCTGTCTATTAATGTTTACGAAAATTTTATTTCTTTTAGCTAGATAACCAGCTGATGTGTCAAATAAATAAACAGAATTATCTTAAATGTTGCTCATTTCAGAAAAGGTTAGTTTAAGGACAGTCACTCTAGCAGAGAGAATTTCTCTTCCTCATTTTCTCCTTCCTCTTTTCAGCAAATCGAAGTTGAGTAAAAAAAATCCAGCAATATTTAACTCTCCAATTGACTAGAAGCCTCACACTTTTTAATCTGCGAGCTGTTTAATTATACTTTATTTTTAGCATAAATTGTGGGTTAAATTCTGTGTTTACTCAAACATGGCATACAAAAAAATTGCATTATGGGAAATTTAGGAGTGGATTTCAATAATAGTGCAGATCACACATCAATAAATCTACAGTGTGAGCAACAATTTACCCTCAGACAGATTAAACAGATTATGTTCTTCACCTCCTGCTGTGGGTTTTCTCCTCCTCCCTTGTTTCTTCTCCTTCTCCCTCTTGGGTGGTCGCTCCTGCGCATGCATGCGCTGGTGCCTCCGCAGGTTGCCAAGGGAACTGCAAGCGTAGCTGCACTGCAGACAGCTGTACGGTTTCTCCCCAGTGTGGGTGCGAGCATGACGCTGCAGGTTGACGAGTTGGGCAGAGGCGTACGGGCAGACAGGGCAGCAGTACGGCTTTTGACCATCATGGGTCCTCATGTGGCGTTTAAGGTGGTTGGAGTAATGGGAGGCAAAGGCACACAGAGAGCACGAGTACAGTTTAGGAGAGAGGTCAGTGCTGCTGCCGGCCGCTGCTCTCCTCCTCCTGGCAGAGGGCATGCTGATGGTTCTGTCAGGCAGGTTGATGTGTTCTACCTGGGTGGAGGTGATGGAGGCAGCCCGCTGCAGGCCCTCTTCACAGCTGAGACAGTAAAGCTCAGCCCCTAGGTCCAGGCCCACAGCTGGAACCAAAAAAATACGTTTAGATGAACCAAACTTCTAGACAGTTACTCAAGAAATAACCTTATCTGTAAGGGTTAGTGTTCTCTGTCTAACATCCTGCTTAATCAGTTACCAAGGTCAAGCTCCGCCCTCAGAGGCATGTCCCCCATCAGGTGACCACATCCTTTACAGGAGAGGAAAGCAGGAAAGGTAGAGTCTGATGAAGTTGACGGGTCGTTCTCCTCCATACTCAGAGAGAACACTGTCGCATCTGAGGACAAACAAAAAGATGAAAAACAAGCATTTTTCATCTGAAAAAGTTAAAATTAACAACACCTCCTTCAAATTATTTAACATTTTTTCCACTACAGAAAGTTTCAGAAATAAAAATCTTCAACCCAAACAACTCTCAATAAAATTTCTCAACAAAAGAACTTTAATTAAACAAAGACTTAAGTGAGTGAAGTTGTTTAGAATGAAATAAAAAATAGTAAGTTATTCCTCTGGTTTTTATATTTAAATTATAATTTTCAAAATAAATTATAGACTTTATTGCTCAAGTTACTATTTATTATAAACAACTCAAACTAGAAAAACATTTTTTATGAATGCAGTGTAATGCTGAGTGCCGAATGACTGCTGAAGTCTAAGAAAAAAGTAGAAACTGAGCTGTTAAAGTTAAAAAACAAAAGGCTATTTAAAAGTGAAAAATAAATTGTTCATTAAAAGCTGAAGTGGCAAAAGGCTAACTAATATCTGAAAACGAAAAGTAGCAGAAGGCTAACTAAATTTAGCAAAAGGCTAGCTAAAAGCTTAAAGTAGCAAAATAGCCAAAAAGTGAAAAATGACAAAACACTTGATAAAATCAGTAAGAACAAAGCGAAAAGCTAAAAGTAGCAAAAGGTTAGGTAAAGGATAAAAGTAGTTTATTACCAGTTAAAAGTACCAAAAATGTTGTTAAAATGTATAAGTAAAAGCCAAATGTAACAGGATGCTAAAAGCTAAAATGAACATAAGAAGATGAAAATAGAGCTAGTAGCTGAAGCCGTTTCTAAAAAGAAAGTTTTAAAATTAAATATGTTTAATTGAAGAAAAAAAAACTCTGCAGTCCGACTCCACGTTCAGACCTCATGAGAATGTATTTGTTTGGGAAACTTATTTATATATTTGAATGGCTAAAACAACACAAACTTTGCAGAAGAAGTTAGACTTTCATAACAATACAAAAATGGACTAAAACAATGCTGAGTAAGCAATAAATGAAAATGTAAACTAATTGTTTTATCTTTTTGGCAATAACTTATACTTATTAGTTTCAAATTACTATTAATTTTCCCCACAAACTCTGTTTAAAATACTGTCTCAGTATAAAGATAATCAACAAAAGAAATTTTACTTTTAATCTATAAGAATTAATTTTTTCTAGTTTTGACTAAAATGTCACAGATGAGACCAGCAGTCCAACTTTTTTTTTAACATCCTGATGTTTGTGCGTCACTGACCCGCCTCTCTGTCCAGCCCCATGATCTCTGAGTCTCCGAGCGCCAGCTCGCCGTTCAGCAGGAAGTCACTTTCCAGAACCAAGCAGCTGGGTTCACACACCACCATTCCATCCTCAGAGTCTACTGAATCCCAAAGAAAACAAAAAATAAAAACGTTTCTTAGGATTTACTATTGAAAACAGGTCCAACTGAAAACCACTGCAGTACTGAACATATGAGTCACAGCTGAGTAACAAATTTAGGTTTCTATTGTGCAACAATTGTAGAAACCTGTCTTAAATGAAGTCACTGAAGAGACAAGACAAGAATAGCAGAGCAAACTGAAGGAGTGAAGGAGATACAGAGGGTTAGACAGACTGCAGGAGGAAATCAGTGAGTTTGAGATAAGTTCAGATGAGGAAGAGTTGGGAGGGTGAGGAGGAAGTCAGGAACAGGAAGATGTGTCCAACAACAACAAAGAGACATTTTTTATAGTTTTATTTTGCCATTTTCTGATGAAAGAGAAAATCCACCCAGTTTTTTTCTGCCTCTGCTTAAAATGTAGTTTGCTGATGGAAAAAAAATACTTACTACACTTTAAAACAACTTTTATTTATTTGCACCCAACTTTAGTCTTTGTGATTGTTTTAAAGTGCTTTACCATTAAAGTTGAGTTGAATTGGACTGCAAAATAATTTGTCTCAATTACGTGGGCTACGTGGGCTGCGTGAGCATACACAGCTGTGAAATAAAACGGTCTAGTCTACAGAGGACGCATGTTTCCGTGACCACACGCTACTCCGTTATCATTGTGCAGAGGTTTATTAAGTACATAAGTACATTTAAGTGAGTAAGTACATTTATTTTGTTACAGTTCTTGAGAATTTTTTTAATTTATCTACTACTTGGAAATTTTTACTTTTGTTACACTTTAAACCTAAAAATGATATTTTTACTTCTTTACTTTAAAATGTAACACCTAGTTACAAATTTAAATCTGTCTGAAGTCATCATGAAAGGAGATCTTTATGCACTCTACAAAAATAGTGTGTTTCCTCAACCAAGTCATGTCAACTGGCTCCACTAAACCTAGTAGAGTAATTATAAAGCAATATAAAAAATATTTAAAAGAAAATATGTAAATTGCTCTATTTACTTTAGTGAAACCAGTTTGGTTAAGTAAATTCAACATCATTTCTTAGAGAGTATGTACAAGTACTTTTATTTTTACTCTCCCGATAATTGTGAACAGTTCTATGACTTTTCTTATCAGTGAAATTTATTTTTACCAAAGTCTTTTTCTGTCAAGGTATTTTTACTTTTGCATAGTTTTTTTCAAGTACTAGACCATTGTGTTGTTTTATATCACATGCCTTCAGTTGTCTTAGTATAACTTCACAAAATTTGGTATTAACATTACACAGACATAAATAAAAATATTAATAATTTGAGTTTAGTTCCAGTAATAGTACTTGTAAATGCTGTTTATTTAACATCACGTTGCAGCACAAATGTCATCAGTTATGTTGCTAAACGTTCTTCAGTCCATGATGAATTTCCAAACTGCTACAAAATCAAACCTAAACAAAAGAAAAAAAAAACCTCCACTGTCATGTCCTGGGATGTCGTCAGCCACGTAGGATACTCAGATGCAAGCCTATGTTTTCAGGGTTTTGTCGGCCCCAATAGAAGGCACCAATGAATGGGGCAGTCTACGGCGCAGAGACGTAAGCAACCGACAAATGCACCCTACTGGGCTGCAAACTCCAAAATGAGACACAACCTCTATCACCGTTCTGTGACTTTGGATCCTGTTTTTCTTTGTGATTATAAACCAAACATCTGGGAGATTGAGATGTTTGTGAATAAACAAAGATAATACGCTGACAGGTCAGACAAACTGTTATTTGCAGAGAAACGGCTACAAGATTTAAAGAAGCACATCAAGCCAAAACAGCAAAAAAACTAAAGCACTGAATCACATGCAAACAAGTGGCACAGGTGTCAACGAGCAGGAACTCCTTATAAATCAGAGGAAACACCTGCAGACCCATCAGACTTCCTACACTTCACATCAAACCTGAGACTAAAGCGTGGCCAACACATCTACAGTGAGATCTTTCATATGACCCTTCTCTGCTGCAGGTCCAAAACTGTGGAATGACCCGCCACTAAATGTCAGATGCTCTCCTTCTCTTTCAGTCTTCAAATCTTTTTTAAAAACACACTGGTTTTCATTTGCCTTTAACTCTGAGTTGGTTGAAAAACCTCACTGTGTATTATAGCTCTATTCTTGAGCCGTTTGTGGTCATTTCAAAATGTTTTGTATGGTCTTACATGTAATTTACTCAATGTCCTCGATGTGTCGTCTACTGTACTGTACAACACTTTGGTTGGCCTTGTGCTGTTAAGTGTTGTGTTGTGTTGTATTATGTTAAGTTATAGTTTTAAAGGTAACTAGAAGCACTCAGAGTGCAAATCTCTGCCAAGACCAATTTTCTTCATCCTGCAATGGAGTATTTCACAGATACCGCCATCTTTGCCTAACGCAAAGCATCATGGTCCAGTTTGGGAGCAGATTTATATTCTATGTTCTAAGCTATAGACCTTGATGAAACTCTAAAGCTCCCACTCCAAATATTTTCATCTGACAAAGCCTCCCTGATGGCAAGAGAAACATCTACAGTTTCAAAATAGAAGTCCAGTTAAAAAATATTAATTTTTTAATGCCTCTAACCTCATGAAAAGCTTCATCCAGACATTTAGGACATTTATTTTATAGTTGTC